ACACACACACACACACACACTGCCAAGCGAGGTGGCTCATGCCTGTAATCCCAACACTTTTCTGGTCTAGGCAGACAGATCACTTGAGGTCAGGAGGAGTTCGTGACCAGCCTGGCCAACATTGCAAAACCCCGTCTCTACTAAAAATACAAAAATTAGCCGGGCATGGTGGCTCGCACCTGTAATCCCAGCTACTTGGGAGGCTGAGGCAGGATAATCACTTGAACCCGGGAGGCAGAGGTTGCAGTAAGCTGAGATCCACCACTGCACTCCAGCTTGGGTGACCACGAGATTCATCTCAAAAAAAAGAATAAAGGAATACAGAGGGGAGTGGTGGCTCATGGCTGTAATCCCAGCACTTTGGGAAACCAAGGCAGGAGGATCGCTTGAGCCCAGGAGTTTGAGAACAGCCTGGGCAACATGGTAAAACCCCAACTCTACCAAAACCACAAAAAATTAGCCAAGCGTGATGTGTGCCTGTGGTCCCAGGTACTAGGGAGGCTGAGGTGGGAGGATCACTTGAGCCTGGGAGTTGGAGGTTGCAGTGAGCTGAGATTTCGCTACTGCACTGCAGGCTGGATGACAGTGAAACCCCGTCTCATTTAAAAAATAAAAAAATAAAAAATAAAAAGACTAGGGCACAGGCATGTGCCACCATGCCCTGCTAATTTTTTTTTTCTTTTTCATCCTCTGACTTTCAATCCCACTAATTAAGAAAAAATAAATAAATAAAAGGGCCAGGTGCAGTGGCTCACACCTGTAGTCCAGCACTTTGGGAGGCCGAGGTGGGAGGATCACGAGGTCAGGAGATAGAGACCATCCTGGCTAATGCCGTGAAACCCCGCCTCTAAAAAAAAAAAAATGTTACCCAGGCTGGTGTCAAACTCCTGGGCTCAAATGATCCTCCTACCTCCACCTCCTAAAGTGCTGAGAATACAGGCATGAGCCTTGGTCATATTTTTTCATTTTATTTTTATTTATTTTATTCTAGCAGCTCTTTTATTAAGAGTGTATATAATTTCTTTTCTTTCTTTCTTTTCTTTTCTTTTTTTTTTGAGATGGAGCTTCTCTCTTGTTGTCCAGGCTGGAGTGCCATGGTGTGAGCTCTGCTCACAGCAACCTCGACCTCCTGGGTTCAAGTGATTGTCCTGTCTCAGCCTCCCGAGTAGCTGGGATTACAGGGATGCGCCACCATGCCTGGCTAATTTTTTGTATTTTTAGTAGACACAAAGTTTTTCCATGTTGGTCACACTGGTCTCAAACTCCCGCCCTCAGGTGATCCGCCCACCTTGGCCTCCCAAAGTACTGGGATTACAGGCATGAGCCACCATGCCTGGCCTATTTTCATTTCTTTCTTTTATTTTTCTTTTTTTTTTTTAAGAGACAGGGTTTCACCATTGGCCAGGCTGAGTCTTGAACTCCTGACCTCGTGATCCACTCGCCTCAGCCTTCCAAAGTGCTGAGATTACAGGTATGAATGAGCCACTGGACCTGGCCCTATTTTCTTTTCTTTTTTTTTTTTTTTTTGAGATGAAGTTTTGCTCTTGTTACCCAGGCTGGAGTGCAATGGCACAATCTTGGCTCATTGCAACCTCTGCCTCCTGGGTTCAGGCAATTCTCCTGCCTCAGCCTCCTGAGTAGCTGGGATTACAGGCACGTGCCACCATGCCCAGCTAATTTTTTGTATTTTTAGTAGAGATGGATTTTCACCATGTTGACCAGGATGGTCTCGATCTCTTGACCTCGTGATCCATCTGCCTCGGCCTCCCAAAGTGCTGGGATTACAGGCGGGAGCCATCGTGCCCGGCCATTTTTTATTTTTTTATTTTTTTTATTGAGACAGAGTCTCATGCTGTCACCAGGCGCCAGGCTGGAGTGCAGTTGCGTGATCTCACTGCAATCTTCGCCTCTGAGGTTCAAGCAATTCTCCTGCCTCAGCCTCCTGAGTAGCTGGAACTACAGGCACGTGCCACCACGCCTAGCTAATGTTTTCGGTTTTTTTTTTTTTTTTTTAAAGACGGGGTTTCGCCGGGCGCGGTGGCTCAAGCCTGTAATCCCAGGACTTTGGGAGGCCGAGGCGGGTGGATCACGAGCTCAAGAGATCGAGACCAACCTGGTCAACATGGTGAAACCCCGTTTCTACTAAAAATACAAAAAATTAGCTGGGCATGGTGGCACATGCCTGTAATCCCAGCTACTCAGGAGGCTGAGGCAGGAGAATTGCATGAACCCAGGAGGCAGAGGTTGCGGTGAGCCGAGATCGTGCCATTGCACTCCAGCCTGGGTAACAAGAGCGAAACTCCGCCTCAAAGAAAAAAAAAAAAAAAAGAAGAAGAAGACGGGGTTTCACCAGGCTGGTCTTGAACTCCCAACCTCAGGTGATCCGCCCACCTTGGCTTCCAAAGTGCTTGGATTACAGGCGTGAGCCACCACAGCCACTACTTTTTTTGTATTTTTTAGTCGAGATGGGGTTTCACCATGTTGGTCTGGATGGTCTTGATCTCTTGACCTGGTGATCTGCCCACTTCAGCTTCCCAAAGTGCTGGAATTACAGGCGTGAGCCACCTCACCCAGCCTCCTATTTTCATTTCTTTCTTTTTTTTTTTTTTTTTTTTGAGACGGAGTTTCGCTCTTGTTACCCAGGCTGTAGTGCAATGGCACGATCTCGGCTCACCGCAACCTCCGCCTCCTGGGTTCAGGCAATTCTCCTGCCTCAGCCTCCTGAGTAGCTGGGATTACAGGCAAGCACCACCATGCCCAGCTAATTTTTTGTATTTTTTTAGTAGAGACGGGGTTTCACCATGTTGACCAGGATGGTCTCGATCTCTCGACCTTGTGATCCACCCGCCTCGGCCTCCCAAAGTGCTGGGATTACAGGCGTGAGCCACCGCGCCTGGCCCTATTTTCATTTCTTAAACATTGATGTCTACACTGTTGTGGGTGCTGATTACTAAGAATAAGACCAACTGCTACCTTTAAAGGGCCTTCTGGTCCACTGTGTTTCGGACTTTTGCATGTGAGTTTTATACACACACATACAAGCCTTCTTTCAAATTATATATATAAACAAGAGTAAAACCATAGTATAAACATGAAATTGGAACTATTCTGTGAAAGAAATCAGACATGAAAGAATACATATTTGCTTGAGCCCAGGACTTTGAGACCAGCATGAACAACATAGGAAGACCTTGCTTCTATTAAAAATAAAATTATCGCCGGGCGCGGTGGCTCAAGCCTGTAATCCCAGCACTTTGGGAGGCCGAGGCGGGTGGATCACGAGGTCGAGAGATCGAGACCATCCTGGTCAACATGGTGAAACCCCGTCTCTACTAAAAGTGCAAAAAATTAGCTGGGCATGGTGGCGCGTGCCTGTAATCCCAGCTACTCAGGAGGCTGAGGCAGGAGAATTGCCTGAGCCCAGGAGGCGGAGGTTGCGGTGAGCCGAGATCGCGCCATTGCACTCCAGCCTGGGAAACAAGGGCGAAACTCCGTCTCAAAAAAAAAAAAAAAAAAAAAAAAAAAAATTATCTCATGAGACTACCACAAGGAAAAGAAAAAAATTAAATTAAATTAAATTAAATTTAAAAAAATTACCTGGGTGTGGGGTCTTACACATGTAAGTCCCAGCTACTGAGGAGGTCAAGCAAACGAATCCCTAAATCCAAGAGTTCGAGGTTGCAGTGAGTCATAATCCCACCACTGCACTTGAGACTCTAGCCTGGCAACAAAGCAAGACCCTGTCTCAAAAAAAACAGAAAAAAAAAAAAAAAAAAAAAAGGAGAAATTGTAAAATTCCAGAAGAGCAGCAGCAGCTGGGATGGGAATTTGGTAGAAATGCAGATTATCAGGCTCCACCCCATACAGACTGAATCAGAAACTCTGGCAGTGGGGCCTAGCAATCTCAGCAAGCTTTCTAGGTGATTCTGATACATGCTGAAGATTGTGAACCACTGTGCTGTTACCCTCGGAAGAGTAGTAACAGGCCAGGAGCACACAGGAGGCTAACAGCCCTTCCTGGGTGCTGGAAATACTCTGTTGCTCGATCTGGGTGCTGGTTACATGGATGCATTCAGTTTGGGAGAATTCATTGAACCATGCATTTATTTATTTATTTATTTTTTGAGATGGAGTTTCACTGTTTTTGTCCAGGCTGGAAATGGTGTGATCTCGGCTCATTGCAACCTGCATCTCCTGGGTTCAAGTGATTCTCTGGCCTCAGCCTCCTGAGTAGCTGAGATTACAGGCGCACACCACCACACCCAGCTAATTTTGTATTTTTGGTGGAGATGGGGTTTTACCATATTGGCCAGGCTGGTGTCAAACTCCTGACCTCAAGTGATGTGCCTGCCTTGGCTTCACAAAGTGTTGGGGTTACCGGTGTAAGCCACCACACTCTCATGCATTTATGATACATACAATTTTTCTGTGTGTACGTTATGTTTTATAACAAAGTTTAAAAAAGCGAACTGTTCTGGTCGAAGCCTTAGGAGGGGCAGGGGAGGGAGGGCAAGGACCAGATCCACAGCTCTGCCCTTCCCCTGCAGGCAGCCCTTGAGGAATTTCCAAGGGAACCAATGGCTCTTTAGAGTATTAGCCTGAAGTCCTTGATCTGTCCCAACAGAGCTCTGAGGTCAGTGACTTGCCCAAGGGTCTGCAGAGCCAGCACTAGAATCCAGGTCTCCTGACTCCCAGGCCAGGGCCCTGGAGGCTAGTCCTTTGCCGAAGGGCTAGTGTCACGAGTAAGGTCAAGGGGTGGCTAGGCAGCCTCCTCCCGGATCTCAGCTCCCTTAACTTGGGTCTTGGGAAGAGGGCCAAGACTCTGGTGTGAATGATGCTTTTCTCATCCTGGAGCAACTTCCTTTCTGGGAACTGGGTGTCTCCTTCTGGGCAAAGACAATAAAATTCATCCAAAAGGCCAGAGGAACAGGGTTCCTCTGGCCCCCACCCGGATGGGCATCACGTGGCTCCCAAGTTAGCAGTCCAGGAAAATTCCAGCCCTTGCACACTTGGCCTCACACACAGCCATCTGCTCACTCACCCTGGCACACTCAGCCCCAACCCACCTTGAACATTGACCATCACACACTCCCTGGCACACTCTTCTCACCCTCAGTTTCTACCACCTCTCCCTGGGCAATATTGCCAGCCCTTCCCTCATCCCAGAGCTGCAGCTCTGCTCTGTCACTCACCTCAAACCTGCCATGTCCCTGGGGCAACTGAAATTCCAGGCGGTGGGCGAAGAGGACGAGGAGGATGAGGAGGGGGAGAGCCTGGACTCCGTGAAGGCACTCACAGCCAAGCTTCAGCTGCAGACTCGGCGGCCTTCATATCTGGAGTGGACAGCCCAGGTCCAGAGCCAGGCCTGGCGCAGGGCCCAAGCCAAACCTGGACCAGGGGGACCTGGGGCCATCGGTGGCTTCGACTCAATGGACTCCGCCCTTGAGTGGCTCCGACGAGAGCTGGTGAGTCTGGTGGGGTGGGCAGCTTTGCACAGGGCCTTTGGGCCGGTCCTCCCTAGGGCCCAACACCATAGGCATGGGGAAGGGATGAGAATAGACCCTGCCTCCAGCACCTGCCCACTCAGGTGTCCTGGGCTGAGGAGCCAGGAATGGACTTGTCCAGTGCTGTATTCAGGGAGCCTTGCTGAAGGATTCCATCCAATCTACTGACCTTGCGCTCCTGTGGCTTAGGGGACAGAGCCCTGCCATTGGGGAGTGTGGAGCACCATGATAGATAGGGAAAGACGGCCTCCCCTATACTGGGACTTGCTATGCCCCAGAGATACAGCGAAGTACAAAAGGAGGCCCTGGCAATGCTGCAGGCAGATTCTGAAGACGGGAATTTGAAGAGGTGGCTCCCAAACCAACACGTGCAAATAGAAAGATAACCAGGCTCCAACGCAGAGATTCTGCTTGGTTGATCTGGGATGGGTCCCAGGCAGCTGGATTTGCTTCATAATGACTCCTCAGCCCGGTTTGAGAACCACCAGGTGGAGCAAGATTGGGAGATGGGGAGGGATCAAGCTGAGGTGAGAGGGGGCCCGGGGAGGACACAGCCCGTGCAAAGGCCCAGCGTTGCCAGGGAGGGTGGAGCGGCGCGCGGCCGAGGGCCCGTCCGTCAGGCTTACGCCCCCTCTCGGCCGCAGCGGGAGATGCAGGCGCAGGACCGGCAGCTGGCAGGGCAGCTGCTGCGGCTGCGGACCCAGCTGCACCGGCTGAAGATGGACCAGGCCTGTCACCTGCACCAGGAGCTGCTGGATGAGGCCGAGCTGGAGCTAGAGCTGGAGCCCGGGGACGGCCCGGCCCTGGCCCCACTGCTGCGGCACCTGGGCCTCACGCGCATGAACATCAGCGCCCGGCGCTTCACCCTCTGCTGAGGAACACCTGTGGGCCGCCCCTCCCCCCGCCTCCCCGCCCCCTCTCCCACTGCCGCTTCCCCTGCCTGCCTGACAAGAGGGAAGGGAGGGGTGCCCCAGAGGCACCAGCTCCCGGCGGGGGAGCAGAATCATTCAGGCTTCTGAGAGCTGAATTCCAAGAGTGCAAAACCCTAGCATCCTGTTTCCTCTGCTGCCAGCTGGGAGGGGGAGGAGGAGGAGCGCACACCCACAAACTCCTCAGTAAACGCCCTGTCCGCTTCCCATCAAGGTCTCTTGCAGTCGTTTATTCAGGCCCAGGGCCGCTGTCTGAACGTGGCCTGTCCCTGGGATCACCCTAGTCCACTGCAGGCCCATGGGAGGTGACTTAGGTAGACTGGGATGCTGAAGAATGCAGAATCTGGGAGACGTGGATTTAAAGGCAGCTCCCTCGTTTATTTCTTTTTTTGTTATTCTTCTTCTTTTGTGTGTGTGCAGTGGTGTGATCTCTGCTCACTGCAACCTCCGTCTCCCAGGTTCAATCTATTCTCCTGCCTCATCCTCCTGAGTAGTTGGAATTATAAGCGGCTGCCACCATGCTTGGCTAATTTTTTGTATTTCTTTCTTTTTTTTTATTTTGAGATGGAGTTTTCCTCTTGTTGCCCAGGCTGGAGTGCAATGGCGCGATCTGGGCTCACTACAACCTCTGTCTCTTGGGTTCAGGCAATTCTCCTGCCTCAGCCTCCCAAGTAGCTGGGATTATAGGCATGTGCCACCACACCTGGATAATTTTGTACCTTTAGTAGAGATGGGGTTTCACTGTGTTGGCCAGGCTGGTCTTGAACTCCTGACCTCAAGTAATCCACCCACCTGGGCTCCTAAAGTGTTAGAATTACAGGCCTGAGCCACTGATTATTTCTTTTTTTTTTTTTTTTTTTTTGAGACAGAGTTTCGCTTTTGTTACCCAGGCTGGAGTGCAATGGCGCGATCTCGGCTCACCGCAACCTCCGCCTCCTGGGTTCAGGCAATTCTCCTGCCTCAGCCTCCTGAGTAGCTGGGATTACAGGCACGCGCCACCATGCCCAGCTAATTTTTTGTATTTTTAGTAGAGACGGGGTTTCACCATGTTGACCAGGGTGGTCTCGATCTCTTGAGCTCGTGATCCACTCGCCTGGGCCTCCCAAAGTGCTGGGATGACAGGCTTGAGCCACCGCGCCTGGCTGCCACTGATTATTTCTATTAGACCCTGAGGAACCCCTTAACCCCTGAGTCTGTTTCCTCACCTCCACAATGGAGGTGCTGATTCTCACTCCACAGGTGGTGGATGTGCCTTAAGGGAAACAGCGAGCCCTCAGTGACTGTGAGCTATTACTCACTCCCAGCGCTGCAGTGTTTCTACTCTGTGCTGAGACTCGGAGATGGACCATGAAGTGTTCAGACGTACATTGCAAGGGAGGCTGGGCCCTGCACCAGCCCTGGAGCTCCAACTCCGGGCTCAGTGTCACTCTGTAGGTTTTTTACTTTGTCTCTCTCAGCCTTTGTTTCTGTGTTACCCTCTTTGACGTTCCAACTCAGGCTTCCTCTTCCCCCAACCCATTTCCTGCCCCCTGGCCTGCAGCTGAGGTGCGCACAGTATCACAGCCTCACAGCCTAGCTTCCACCTCACAAACCCCAACAATGCTCTGTGGGTTCCCCTCCCCCTAACCAGCTCACTCAGGCAGTGACGCATTTGCACTTTCCTCCCAGTGGGGTCAAGGCCCAGTTCTTGGACCCGATGAGGCCACCCGGAGTTCCTCATACCACTGGTGACCTGGCCCGCAGCTAATGATGGGCACCCCCTCAGCCTAGCCCCAGGGGAAACGGAAATTCTTCACCTGCTTGCTGCTTGTGACAATCTTCTTGGTGCCTGCTTATAACAGAAAGTCCTGGCAGTCTGTGGCCTGCACCTGGGGGCCTGAGCAGGCCTGTTTACGCTGTCTTCCACCTGTTGCAAGAGATGGTGCCAAGCCCTCCGCCTCTGCCGGGGGCTGTGGTCTTGCCTCTACCTGCATTTGAAGTGTTGCCCTGTGCTCAGACCATGATTAGTGGGTGTTGTGCTGGCCTCTGACTACAGCAGGGGCCTCTTGGAGACATGAGGGCGTCCTGTCTGCTTCCTGAAACAGGAGCCACTGTTTCTGTCTGTGAGAGGAAATTCTTCCGGCATTCTGCCTACCACTCACCTATCCTTGACTATAATAAAGCTACTGTCCTGTGCCTGGGATGACCTGGGAATTGTTCCCTCCGCCTGACCTGACTGTGACATGCATGCTCTGCTGGCCAGCTATTTAACAGGGATATTGTCCACTCCTCTGACTCTGGACGATGCTACCTTTGCTGCCAGACAGAAAGAAAAGGGTCACTCAGCTGCAGCAGTGGTGCTGTGGGGCTGCTTGCCTCTCACCATCAGCTGAGTGCCAGTCTGCCTGCCCCCTGCTCACTGGGGCCAAAGGCTGCCCTTGAATCTCTTGCCCAGATGCACCCTGGAGGGCAGAGGGATGGTCTATTAGACATCCTCCCCTCGACTTTAACCTCCCAGTGTCACCCTGAGGGGTGGTAGGGCCTGGCCTGGAGGTGTAGGGGACCCCCAGGGGCTGAGAGGCAGGGGTCTATGGTGGCAGGAAGCTTGGGGTGCTAGAGCTTGTGGTTGGGCTGCTGGGGCCCGGTTGGCTGAGGAGCCCTCGAGAGGAGGCAGGAAGTCAGGGTGGGACGTGGGCGCGGGGAGACAGGTGGTGCCTCCGACGGCAAGGGGAGCTGAGACTGTCCAGGCAGCCAGGTTAGGCCAGGAGGACCATGTGAATGGGGCCAGAGGGCTCCTGGGCTGGGCAGGTAAGGAGTTCTGGGAGCAGGGCACAGGCCTGGAGGGGCAGAAGGCCTGATAGCAGGTGGCTGTGGCTTTGTGGGGTTGGGGGGAGCGCCAGGCTCCCTGGGGATGCTGCGGCCCTTTGCGGGCTGGGGAGAGAAGATCCTCACTGGAGGTCAGGTGGGAGGCAGGCCGTGCAGCTGGGTCGCCTCTTTCCTGCGAAGCTGGTGGTGCTTGACTCTGCCATGCTGTCCGCCAGCAGCCTCTGCCTCACTGGGAGCGTGTTTCCTGGAGACCAGGCACATGGACAGTCAGGTGTTAAAAAACTAGAAACCACCAAGTCCAGTGCCTCATGCCACAAGGATGAGGCTTCTGAGGCCCAGAGAGAACAAGGCACTCACTGCCCATGGTTTCTCAGCAAGGCAGTGGCAGGGCTGGGCCCCAGAAGAGAGTGACAGCTGAGGCCGTGACCACCCTGCCTGGAGCAGGGTGATGGACAGGTTGGACTCGGAGGACTCAGGAAGCCTTCTGGTTTCTGGGGCAGACCCCAATGACAAGAATCTCCAGAGAGAAAGAGAGAGAGAGAGAAAGAGAGAGAGAGAGAGAGAGAGAGAGAGAGAATCGCCCAGGGAATCCAGATGGACACGCAAGGAGTGGTGGGAGTGGACGGATAAGTGTGGGGGTGTCCATCACCTGGGATGGAGCTCCAGGGTGGACGGACATGTCTGATCTGAGTCTGGGAAGTTGGAAGTGAAAGAGAATAACGGGAGAAGGGAAGAGGAAGTACTATTTTTATCCCAAATGGGGGTGCAGTTGACCCTGGGTGAAAAAGCTCTGAACTCCCATCTGGAAAGTTGCCATTCCTGCCTCTGCCAAGTGTCACAGCAGGATGCCCTCCCCTCGCTGCTGGCTCCCTCCTGCTTCAGCCCTGTAATGCCATGATGGATGATGCGTAGGGCCTGTTGATGTTGCTGATTCTTGCTTCAAACCCCAGGGAGGTGGAGAGAGACTGGGGAGGCATAGTTGCTGCCTGCCCACCCCCTTACTTGTTAACTCTGAGCCTTAATCTCTGGGGGGAATCCCCAGACTTCCAGGTTCCCACTGCTTCTTTGGAGTTTTTCTTTTTCTTTTTTTTTTTTTTTGAGACGGAGTTTTTTGCTCTTGTTACCCAGGCTGGAGTGCAATGGCGCGATCTCGGCTCACCGCAACCTCCGCCTCCTGGGTTCAGGCAATTCTCCTGCCTCAGCCTCCTGAGTAGCTGGGATTACAGGCACGTGCCACCATGCCCAGCTAATGTTTTGTATCTTTAGTAGAGACGGGGTTTCACCATGTTGACCAGGATGGTCTCGATCTCTCGACCTCGTGATCCACCCGCCTCGGCCTCCCAAAGTGCTGGGTTTACAGGCTTGAGCCACCGCGCCCGGCCTGGAGTTTTTCTTGACACACACTTTCCACCTAGTCAGCAGGTCCCAGCCTTTCTCCTGTCTACAGCTCTGAGACTTGTAGCCTCTTGTGGGGGCTGGGGAACATGGTGGCTCTCCCGATGCTTCAGGGAGGGTCATTTGCACCCAGACAGACATGAGCAGTTCCCTCTACCCAGCGCTGTGCTAACAGATCAATCAGACAGGATCCCTGGCTCTTGGGGCCCAGGAACAGAGGCTCTTCTCAGAGACAAAGGGCCAAGTGGAAAAGGGCCGAGAAGAGGCTGAGGGTTGGTTCAGAGGAGGGGAGAAGGCATCTCAAGATCTGGAAAGCTTCCTGAAAGAGTTAAAACAGTTCTGAGAAGGAGAAAGACCCACTCTTTTTTTTTTTTTTTTTTGAGACGGAGTTTCACTCGTTACCCAGGCTGGAGGGCAATGGCGCGATCTCGGCTCACCGCAACCTTCCGCCTCCTGGGTTCAGGCAATTCTCCTGCCTCAGCCTCCTGAGTAGCTGGGATTACAGGCATGCCCCACCATGCCCAGCTAATTTTTTGTATTTTTAGTAGAGACGGGGTTTCACCATGTTGACCAGGATGGTCTCGATCTCTCGACCTCGTGATCCACCCACCTCAGCCTCCCAAAGTGCTGGGATTACAGGCTTGAGCCACTGTGCCTGGCGAAAGACCCACTTTCTAGAGTGCCTAGGACATGAAGCCAAGGACACTATCACTTGATTCTGTTCCTTGGGTACCATGAGGGCAGATACCTCAGAGCAAGACCAAAGGCAAAAGAGCCCACAGGCGTGGTGTGGGGCAGAGAACATGCATTTCAGGGACAGGCCAATCTAGGTACAATTCTGTACTATCATTTCCTTGAGCAAGTGTCTTCATCTCTCTCTAAACTTCAGTTTACTTATCTGTAAAGAGGCAATAATCAAGCTGGGCATGGTGGCTCATGTCTGTAATCCCAGCACTTTGGAAGGCTGAGGCAGGTGGATCACTTGAGTCCAGGAGCTTGAGATCATCCTGGCCAACATAGTGAAACCCTGTCTCTACTAAAAATATACAATTAGCTGGGCATGGTGGCAGGCACCTGTAATCCCAGCTACTCTGGGGGCTGAGGCAGGAGAATCTCTTGAACCTGGGAGGTGGAGGTTGTAGTGAGCTGAGATAGAGATCATGCCATTGCACACCAGCCTAGGCAGCAGAGTGAAACTTCGTCTCAAAAAAAAAAAAAAAAAAAAGAGGCAATGATCAATTTCTCCCTTACAGAATGCTTGTATGGAATCAAAGAGAAAATGACCATGATATGCCCTAGGTAGTACCTGACACCTAGTAGGTGTTTAAGGGAGGTGCAGCACTCCCTCCCCCTGCAAATGATGCACCAAAGGGAGAGCTGTCCACACCCAAATTCTGCTCACTCAGCACCGTGGCGGGCTGGTGAGCCGCCCATTCCCTCACACTTGTAGTGTGGCTTTGCAAATGAGCCTGTTTCCTGTATATAATGCAAGGGGTGTGAGAACCGAAGCAGATTGAACTCTGAGCAGGGCCATGGGATCTACTTTAGAAGGGGGTCTCTCACACAGCCACACACAGACACACACACACGCAAACGAAAACACCACACATACCATAGGAAAAGGGATGTGTACAGATCTGTTCAGAGGCAGGGCAAGGACTGCACGTAAAACAGACTGCATCCTCCAGCTTCGTGCACACACCACGAGCTGACAGCTTCAAGGCCAAGCTCAATTCAGTGGAAGTTATTCTCAGTGGGGTTGGGTAGGGTGGGGTGGGGGGTGAGGAGCAGGTGGGACCAAAGTACCATCCAGTCATGTGGCCTCTAACAATCAACCTCAGTGTTGATTTTAAAGTATCTGGAGCTAGGAGTTTGAGGCTGCAGTGAGCTATGATCGCTCAACTGCACTCTGGCCTGGGTGACACAGCTAGACTCTGTCTCTAAAAAGTAAATACGGCCAGGCACAGTGGCTCATGCCTGTAACCCCAGCACTTTGGGAGGCCAAGGGAGGCGAATCACCTGAGGTGAAACCTGAGGCCAACAAGGTGAAACCCTATCTCTACTAAAAACACAAAAAATTAGTCAGGTGTGGTGGCACATGCCTATAATCTCAGCTACTCAGGAGGCTGGCAGGAGAATTGCTGGAATCCAGGAGGTGGAGGTTGCAGTGAGCCAAGATTGCACCATTGCACTTCAGCCTGGACGACAAGAGTGAGAGTTCATGTCAAAAAAAAATAATAGGCCAGGCGCGGTGGCTCAAGCCTGTAATCTCAGCACTTTGGGAGGCTGAGGCGGGTAGATCACGAGGTCAAGAGATCGAGACCATCCTGGTCAACGTGGTGAAACCCCGTCTCTACTAAAAATACAAAAAATTAGGCCGGGCGCGGTGGCTCAAGCCTGTAATCCCAGCACTTTGGGAGGCCGAGGTGGGTGGATCACGAGGTCAAGAGATCGAGACCAACCTGGTCAACATGGTGAAACCCCGTCTCTACTAAAAATACAAAAAATTAGCTGGGCATGGTGGTGCGTGCCTATAATCCCAGCTACTCAGGAGGCTGAGGCAGAAGAATTGCCTGAACCCAGGAGGTGGAGGTTGCGGTGAGCCGAGATCGCGCCATTGCAGTCCAGCCTGGGTAACGAGCCAAACTCCGACTCAAAAAAAAAAAAAAAAAAAATTAGCTGGGCATGGTGGTGCGTGCCTGTAGTCCCAGCTACTCAGGAGGCTGAGGCAGGAGAATTGCCTGAACCCAGGAGGCGGAGGTTGCGGTGAGCCGAGATCGCGCCATTGCACTCCAGCCTGGGTAACAAGAGTAAAACTCTGTCTCAAAAAAATAATAATAATAATAATAAATACATACATAATGTATCTGGAGCTGCATTTCCAACTCTTGTACTAAAGAACACTAGTTGCATTAGGCACTGGGAAAGGAGAGGGCTCTGAGGCCAACCCAACATGGCTTCAGCTACAAACTCTGGCCCATCATAATCACGATCACATCACAATCAACGTTAGCTTGTTAAAGCTCTGAAAGGCTCCCTGAGAAGAAGCCTTGATTCATTTTGTCTAAACCAGTGTTTCCCCAACTTCCTGGGCCACAGGACCTTTTGTCCTGTGTCACTTATTCTATGCTGATGCCTTGGAGAGGATTGGAAGGGCAGGGTGGGCTGTGCAGACACTTCTCACGTGACGGCAGAGTTGATATGTTGGCAGTGGTTTTGTTGTTTTTGTTTCCTTTTTTCTTTTTTTTTTTTTTTGAGACGAGGTCTTACTCTGTTGCCCAGGCTGGAGTGCAGTGGCTCCATCTCAGCTCACTGCAACCTCTGCCTCCCAGGTTCCAGCGCTTCTCCCACCTCAGTCTCCCTAGTAGCTGGAATTACAGGCATGTGCCACTGTGCCTGGCTAAGTTTTGTATTTTTTTTTTTTTTTTTTTTTGAGACAGAGTCTCGCTTTGTTGCCCAGGCTGGAGTGCAATAGGGCAATCTTGGCTCACTGCAACCTCTGCCTCCCAGATTCAAGCAATTCTTCCACCTCAGCCTCCCTAGTACCTGGGATGCAGGCATGTGCCACCACGCTCTGCTAATTTTGT